CAACTCTCTCCGCGCACTCATGTCTCTTGCGCCATTTACAAATTGCTCCTTAAGCACACGGTCTTGCATCAGGCGCAAGGCATCACGTTCCGGGCCTTAAGCCGCCTGCTCCATACGATTATGAAACCGCATTAAAACCCGGCTAAAATCTGCCAGTGACTCTTCCGGTAATTGTTTCCGCGCATACAGTGCACTAGTCAGCGAGGACACGCTTTCGGAGGTGCCAAATCTGTTACTCAGGAGGGTGATTACCTTGGGTAGGGTGTCCCTTTCATCCTGGGGCGCGCATAGTATTTCCTCTTTTGCTATTCCGCCCAAGTGGTCCACAAATTCCCCAACTTGTCTATCACCCTCGAGCCCTAACTGCCGTGAATAACGCTCAAATTCCTCAAGCCATTCGTTTATGGTCAAATCCCCAGGCTTGCGAGGGGGCCACAGAACTTCACCAGACTAACCTTTGGTGTTGGTGTGATTTTCAAATTTCCAAAAGCATTCGCCAACGTCTGTGCTAAGGCCTCGTTAGACCTTGTGATTACTTCACCCATAGCTTCTGGTAAGGCCATAACTGAATACCGTTACCGCGCAAAATTGGCAAAATTTCAAACGCCAGAAAGGTCAATACCCGAGCAAAGAAAAATTGTTTCAAGACACCCCAGCGCTTTAAACAAACACTTTTACCCTTGCAAAGTCACAATTACAATTAAAAATTAGAATCCGACTTATGGCAATAAAATACACTTTATTTATGGTATACAGTCAATGATGTCTGACAACAAAACAATGTGTCTTATTTACCACACTTCTCCATGTGTTGGGGGTCCACATAAAATTACAAGGAAAACAATTTACATGTAGTCAACAAATATAACCCTATATATTCTTGAATCTTCTCTATCCTGTCTACGACGCCACTTGTAGTAACCTCCTCGAGGGGCAGGGGTTGGGTGGAGTCTCGTTATCAACTCCGAGGAGGGGAAATGATCCCGGGTTCCGGGCAAGAAGAAACAAAGAGTCTTGAGACACCGATGTATCCCCAAAATCTACTGGTTTGTTATGAGACTGAGATCCAAAAATCAAAAATGTTCATCTAGGTATTGTCCATCAGATCACAAAGTATGAACGTGATCGTTCATTTTGTTCGTGAGTTATAATTGAGGGAACTTATCAAATTTTGGCCAAAAATCGCTTGTAATTTGACACTTGATGACGTCATCGTGTCGTCAGAGTAATATGCACGACTCGGGATGAGGGTCGATAAATATTGAAAGTTACAAGTTCATACCATACACCGTCTAGGAGAAAATTGCGGAGAAGTATTGTCCGGAAAAGAAAAGAAAGAAAGAAAGACCCAAACAAAAAAGATTTCTGAGAACAATTCTAGACAGTGGTCGGGCACTCAAAAACTTTAACGAAAACAAAGGCTGTTTCGGCCGGTTGCCGAAACAGCCAAAAAAACAACAACTAGAGATCTATGTCTGTTTGCAACAGAATATGGGGCTTTTCCGGATTATTATTTTTTTAAAATCAACAACACGTCCCTGACTATGCATGGACAACATTTCAAAGTATACGGTACAAGAATTTTTTAATTTAGCATGTAGCGTCTTTGAGATATATTATCATCGAAGAAATATCTATGTTAAATCAGATGTATCGGACTATGTTCATACGGAATTTTGACCCATTGGGATTGAGTTTTCTCAATATGAGACTTTGAAAAGTGGCCCTTTATGATGACGTCACATGCCCTACGATGACTTTATCTTGACAGCACTTGTCAATGCACATTTTCGCATTGTAAACTTGGTTTGTACCAATTTTGAAGTCAATTCAGGTGAAAGAAAGTGTTCAATTTTGGAGCGGAATGACATTATAAATAGTACAAAAAATCAACAACAAAAAATCAACCGATGACATCATGGTGACATCCTTTCGAATTTTGCATACTAGTACCATTATCTAGCTATCCACTAAGTTTCAAGACAATCGGACTTTCCCTTACATGTGTTTTCAAAAATCACATTTTTGATGACGTCATGATGACGTCACACATTTTTCAAAAATTTGTGCACATATACCTTTTACCTTACAAATCAAATACAAAAAGAATTTTGAATTTTTCATGTTGCGTTTGTGAGATATGGCTTAAAGGTCCAAAACTTTAAAAATTATGCATATAAATTCGCACGATGATGTCACCTCAATATTTACCTAAAACACATCCCGGTCTACCTATGTATACTGAGTTTCAACCCAATCAAACTTATAGTTCTGTTGATATAGGACTTTAAAATATGCACATTTGTCAAGACTGACTGCTAAGTAAGAATTTTCTATTAATCAAACAAAACAAAACAAAGGTATGCACATGCTTTATATTGTAATTTGTTTTATTTCCAAAACAAGTCAACAATTAAAATGAATACCAGAAATGGTAAGGATATTTACATGTATGATAACTAGTGTCAGTGTCAATACCTGAATGGTCATCGTTCTGAATTACACCACATTAACTTGGCGAATGGGGGCGCCATTCACTTTACACGGTGTGCCGTTGTTTTTTTTTTTTTAACGCGCCGTGCGTATTTTGATCGCGTAAAAGTTTTAAACGATTTCACACTGGAATTAATATCGTCCTTCGACGTCATTTTGCATTTCCATCTGTAGAATGGGAACCAGACAATGGAACTTTCATGGGCAGAACACCATTAAAAATTTATGTTAAAATATAGACGCTACCTTACCTTTTAGCAGGTGCGATGAGGGAAAATTTGCAAGTTTTGGAAATCGTTAATATTTATTACACTCATTAAAAGTACCGAAAGGCACAACATTTTTTTTAATTGTCCTTGTTTTATAACTTGGCAGAATGTTCTTAATGCCTGGTGAACTGGATAAAACAAATCGCCACGTGAAGGTGTTTTGGCAACGCAAAAAGAGAAATTTCCTGTGCAAGATCAGGCTCTGTGCCGCTCGTTTACTCTGCCTTGCCTAGCCTGCGTACAACCCACAGCATGTGATTGTATGTACGTCTGTGGTACAACCACAGGCATATAAACGCAACCGTTAAAATTATGCAGCGCCCTCTTTTGGCGAGAATGAAGGGACGTAATATACATTGTGCATGTATGTGCTATACGATGTTTAAAGCGGAGGTGCGGTCAACCTGAATTTTAAGCATGCTGCAGGGCATGTCCAAGTACACTTTTTGCCACCAAACCTAGCAAAGTTTTAGACCTACCCTTAGAGTGTGTTTTGAAACAAAATTCAAGAATATTACTATCAGGGTAGATTTTTTAGGAATTTTCAAAGAAAAGGAGGTTTGTTCATTCTAACTTCCGGTCTGATGATGTCATCATTGTTTTTTTCGCGCACAGGTGTTGTTTGCATTAAGGTCATTATATACCCTCATTTTAAAGCGATTACCGCAAACTTCGCCACAGACATCAACTCAAAATTCATTTTAAACATTTGCGCTCTAACATTTTATGAAGTCACCTGTACATTTTTTGTGAACTACAACCTAACCACAGGCTAACAGCGTGTAAAGCAAGTTCATATCTTTTTCTAGTTTTAATTAATAAGCCACTTCCAGTTTGGTCCGGAAGGAAGGGTCACGTGACATTACGTGCACGAGATAAAGTAAAGACCCTGGATTATTATATCAATTCACGCAAACGTCAAGTTCGGGTCTCTCAAGGTTGATTTTATACTGATTTTCAAAGATTAAATCTGTTAATCTTTAACGTGACGTCACGTGGCCCATGATGACGTCATGATGACGTCACTCTGCCGGACACAACTATGCTATAAGGACTATGCCTATGCTGACTTTAAATGATGTACGACAAAGATTAATGCCAAAAGTGGCGTTGAGAAAAGATGTGTACAACGTCTATGGGATTTGCCATGGAAAAAAAACAAGAAGAAGAAGAAGAAGAAGAAACAAAAATCAGAACAAAAAGAAAGGCTTTTCCACAACTATGCGATAAAGCCAAAAAAAGCCAGCACAAAAAGAAAGGCTTTTCCGCAACTATGCGGAAAAGCCAAAAAAATATCAGAACAAAAACAAAGGCTTTTTCGCAAATTAGCGAAAAAGCCAAAAAAAGAATAAAAATCTTAACAAAAACAAAATCTGTTCCAAAAGGTTAACGAATGCAAGAGCTGTTTCTGAGCATGTACTCTGAATCAGCTAAACAAATTGAGTATTTGGTGAGGAAACGATCAGAGCAAAATGTTAAAACCATTCGACAATGTGTTTCTAGGCATTTGAGCATGGTCAGACAACTGCGAAAAAAAACAGTGTCAAATGAAACAAATGCAAGAATCAAATGCAAGAAACATTGGTTCTTTCTGTCTCAAAAGAAAGTTCTCTTAAAGTGTCAAGTAGGTTTCAACTAACTAATTTCAATACTGAAAAATAAATTGCATTGCCTAAATACAAACATGTTATAATGATTAAACCTTTTTATAAGTCAAGAGCGTACCGGTAGTTTGAACAGATTTTAGTATGCAAATTTCATAAGAAATTATTACTGCATGTATGCCAAAGATATACAAAAATTTGAAATTTTAAACTTTTGAAAAGTAGGCGAATGATCTTATAAAATAAAACAAAAGTAGCTACAGGAACCCCAAATTTTAGTCCCCAAATTTGCTTGAAAAATTGTCCTGTCAATTCAAGTTATATACAAGCATGTATTATAGCATGGCTTATTAACTAAAACCAAATAATTCACTCTCGATTTCTTGACTGATCTCTCCATAATTATGTCGTGATTTCTAAGTGCATGGTATCAGATATTTGTATGAACAGTGTAAGCCTGTCAAGTAATGCCTGCATAATACTTTTTTGTGTGTAATTTTCCGCAATTACAATACATGTCACTTCAGTTTCTAGACAATTCTTTTAAAATTAGATTTGAGTTTATCTCCGTGTACCACAATCGGGTACATGTGGTCTACATTTTAATTTTTTTTTTTAATCTCTTTAACAGATACTGACTTTGATGATGTACGCTCTGACTTTGAAGAACGTTTCCCCTGTATCAGATTTAGCGATAAACAAAGGTAAATTATGTAATGTTATTGTCTCAATGCAATATTTGTTCATAACACCATTTTGCCTAATCCTGGCCAGTGCTGTAGTTAGGATGAGATTGTAGTGCAGGGCTATTTGCTCTAGAAGAACTAAAGCCGTGTCCGCACTGGACTTTTTTTGGTGAAGGTTTTACCGAGAGGAGGTTAAAATGAAAAATGGTCAAATGTGACTACTGTCCACACTTGGACTTTCAACTTGGACTTTCAACATTGAAAGCAAGTATACATCTTTTGCCAATTTCAAATTATAAGGCACTTTCGGTTTCTACCGAAAGGAAGGGTCATGTGATCTTGCACTTAATACCAAAAATGAAGACCCGGCAATATTGTATTGATTGTCATAACTAACTTTGTATTGAAATAATTTTTTATTGAAATAAAAGTTCAAATATATCAAATGACAAGGATCTATATGTCAGTTATATAAAACAAATATTGAGTGGCTTTAAATTATGAAATTGGAGGAACATTATCGCTCGGTAAAATCTGGGCTTTTCCTGTTCACTCGGCTTCGCCTTGTGAAATGAAAAAGTCCAGATTTTACCTTGCGATAATAGTCCTCCCATTCCACACTGATCCACTCAATATTTGTATGCTATCAATTCCCGTATAAAGCAAAATCAGATCTCTCACATTTGATATTATATTGATTTTCAAAGATTAAATCTATAAATCTTTGGTTGCTTGAAATCTGATACTTGGTGACATCATAGTGACGTCATTACAAGCAAGCTCGCGAGCTATGTGAACTGTGTTTGATGCAGAATCGGGATTATATCGGGATTATATTCCCACAGGTGTTGTCTTTATTATGGTCCTCATACCGGTATATATTAATTTTAAAGCGATTACTGCATCTTCGTCACACACATCAACAGATTTTTCATTTTAATCATTTTTCAATCTGCCGCTAGAGGGCTCCAGTGTTGGAATCAAGACCTCAAAGACCGAGACCGAGACCTCATAGTCCGAGACCGAGATGTCATTTAAAAAACACACACACAATAAGTAGCAAGTTGTGTACAAACGTGTGCACATATCAATGCAAATTTAATACCAAAACTCTTAAAAACTTGAAATAAATAACAACTAATGCTGTACCATGCCTTTAAAAAATAGCCGGGTACATTTTGGCAAGATTTTTTAATGGTTTGATATTCTTATGGTTTGACTAATTCATACAGGTAGTTTTTAACATGAAAATAACTATTAACCCTTACCCAACTGGACCCTCCAACGCATGCCATTATGTGCCTTAAGAAAATGGCATATGTTTTTTGCACGGCCCTCCAATATCTGCCATGTCATTTCAAGGGTAACTGGACAGGCACTCCAATACATGCCACAGAGAACAATGAGAGTCCTCTGATAACAAAGTGAGTGCCCCCAGCTGGTCAGTATCAGGCACCCTCCAGGGCCTCCAACTCCTGCCAATTGGAGCCTTCACTGTTAAGACAAACTATCTGCCAATAAACTGCAGCTGGAGGGCATTGGCATAACCAACTGACATGCAGTAAACTACCCTCAGAGAGTAAGGGTTAATAGTCACAGCAATTATACTTTGTTTCATCAACTTCAACATAACTGAACTTGTAAATTGTCAAACAACATGTAAGAAAAATTTCAACATGGCGAACTTGGCCCTCAGCCCAGCTACACACGGTGACATACCTCATCCTGGCTCTACATCTGTAAGGTTTTCCCTTGTTTAATGTTAATTCAAATTGACGGAAATGTTGGTTCAATTATTTTTGAGGTAATATTATATAAATAATTTACATAAGGCGGTAGGTACGTACTTTACTTTGTGGACACGACTTACGAGCCCGATGAAGGCTGAACTCGTCCCTGCCTGGTTGGTAATACGCTTCTGACTGAAACAAAATCTGCAGGTAGCCGAGTGCTTTCTTTTATCTGATGTTTTGTCCACAATCTATGTATCAGAGATGCCACTTTTCCGGTATTAACCGGAATTCCGGTTTTAAAAAAAAATCTCACAAAATTCCGGTTTTTCCGGCCGTCAAATTAACCAGAAAAGAAAAGAAGAAAACTGTGGAAATGCGATGATTTTTACCTCGATTTAGTACATTTTGCGCACGCATGGCACAACGTTGTTCGTTGAAGTAGTCTTAAAAACAGTCTTTGTGTATGTTGTTGCGGAGCCTGCATGCGATACAAGCGGCCAACGTACTTGCACGCGATATACAACAGCGCCTCGCGCGTGCTTCACCGCGTGCGGGCGTGTTGTGTGCTAAGCAAACGTAGCATTCAGCCTGGAAATCAAGTCTATCATTTCAGCTATCGGTGGTTTCTGATCGCAGTGATATATGTGAATACAAAAAATGCGGGTACCAACCATGTTTTCGTTAAGCGCATCGCGTAGTGCAAGGATCGTGTACACCGACAGCGTGTTGTGGAATCGTGCACGTTTTGTGTCGAATATTACGTTGAAAATTCGGGTAGGCAGAATAAATATTAGGAATATGGAAAAAGTCAAAGTGATTGAATGAACCGACAGCTTTAAAGGCCATAGAAGCAAAATTAAAAAATAAACAGAACTTGGCTTGGCTACAAGATAAAGATGACAATGTGGACTTTGTGTTGGACACGGAGTGGCTTTTGCACACGTACAAAAAAGTTCCGTTTTTTTTCAAGCAGCCGTTCTGTTTTTTTTTTCAAGCAGACCAAGTTCCTTTTTTTTTCGAGCAGACCCTGTGGCATCTCTGATGTGTGCTCCTTAAAAGCAAATTTTAGGTTTAACGAGTTGCTTGACATAATTTCTAATTTGACAAGACAGCACTTTATAATGATTAAACGTCAACTCAAAATAATTTCTGAAATATTTAACGTTACACCACGTTATACTACGAGCGAGAACGTTCCTGCATGGATGTTTACATGCAGTGACTACACACATCCACCGTGCGCAATGTATTTTTGCACACACGTGATTGACGTCACGACACACAGTTTGTTAACGGATTTTGACAAACAGTCCATGCTACTTACTAACTGAGCGGCGATATGCTAGCGATAAGCGTGCTCTCCATGCGGAAATTCTTTTGACATGCACTATGCGTTATGATTTACCCTGGTGAAACAGTGTTGACTCCATCAGCGGTTAATCAAATAATTGTCTTCAAACACTCTGGAATATTCAACAGGTCTCGTCAAGGTCTTGATCCGAGACCCTTGTCCAGGACCGAGACACTTGGAGTCGAGACCGAAACCACAACATTCCGAGACCTCAAAATCGTCTAGACCTGAAAAAAATGGTCTCGAGACTAGGTCGAGACCTCCAACACTGGAGGGCACTGTAATATTTTATGACATCATCGGTAATTGTTTTGTAAAGTTACTTGCCAGTCACTTGCCAGCAACCAGTATCGTTGAAAGCAAGTACACATCTTTTTCCACTTTCAAATTATAAGGCACTTCCGGTTTGGACCAGAAGGAAGGGCCACGTGATTTTGCATGCGCGAGATAATATAAAGATCCTGAATTATTCTATCAATTCCTGCAAAAGGTAAGTTCAGGTCTCTGACAGTTGATTTTATATTGATTTTAAAAGATTAAATCTGTTAATCTTTAACGTGATATCACGTGACCCACGATGACGTCATAATGACGTCATAATGAAATAATCACATCTTCAGTACGTTGTGTACTCATGTATTCAAATTCAGGTTGATAAAGGTTTTCATGTGGACAAACAGTTCTTGAAATGAATTTGCATAGGAGAATAGTCAACAAATACAAAAATACAATAGAGGTTGTAGGAACAACCACATGGTGTGGGCTATTGAATACTTCGGCATGCACATCAAATTAAATGCATGTTTGACTTTGTCAATATGCCGCTAGAGGACACTCTAACATTGTATGATGTCACCTGTAATTTTTTGTAAAGTGCAGCCTAGGCAGAAATTCACATCATTGAAAGCAAGTTCACACATCTTTTGCCAATTTCAAATTATAAGGCACTTCAGGTTTAGACCGGAAGGGTCATGTGATTTTGCACTTAATACCAAAAATGAAGATCCTGCAATATTGACCTATCGCCGTTTGCGAGTTAACCACGCCCCTTAGACAACGCTATGGAATGTTGTACGCTAAGTTTTGTTCGTCTCAGAATTTGCGCATTCTGCACCATTTGTATATGGTGTAATTGGACAATATTTCACAAGCTGCGTTGACGCGATTCTAACGCGATTCTTCCGCGATGGGTCAATTGTATCGGTTGCCATAAAAAACAAACAAATCTCTATCAGTTGATTTTGTTTTGATTTTCAAAGATTAAATCTAGAAATCTTTATTTGTTTGTAATATGATATTACTATACCTCATAAATATTCATCAGGCAACCATGGCATTTCATTGGGCCATTCTAGCTATTCAACCGTGTGAAAGTTTTTACTATCACCCCGCGTCTTTGTACGCGCGCGTGACGTGCAAAAACCAGGGAGGTACTATCACACACCTGGGTCGCAGCCTTAGATTTGTTCCAGTACTGTGTTATCTCTTTACCAACAGGGCATGTGCTTTACGTGCGTACCCTGAAGAACACCAGTGAGGACAGTTGCATGTGCCAGTCTATTACAGCATACATAAAAAATGGCGACCGGTGGTGCTCGCTTTGCGATTTTACCCGAGGAGGAACTTGATGGAAAATTTATACAATAATAATAAATGCAAGTGTTTTGCATGAATGTTTAAGTTATTAAATGACACAAACTTAACTTTCAATTCTGTATGTCTCCTTAATTAAATTAAAATAATGTCTCACTTTATCCAAATACTGCACAATCAAAAACATGGTGGAATGGAGGAATGAAGTACCGCAGCTGCCTGATGAATATTTATGAGGTATATTAAAACAAGTACAACGTGTTTTTGCGGTGAAATAGTGAAAACTAATGACTCCTCGGTGTTGAATGATTGGGACTACCGGTATCTCCCGAGGCGAATCA